GGGAAATTGGGTGGAATAACCAAAAAAAAAATTATAACTAAGAATATAACCAATTAACCTAAATCTAGTGTATATAATTATGCCACATACCCCTATTTTAGTTAGTTCTGTAATTATTATTTTTTTTGTTATTGAGCAAATTAACCCTTTATATAATAAAAATAATTTACCAAATAAAAAAAGAAATCGCAGAATATTATTGGTCATAGAGTATTCAGTAAAGTTGAAAAAGTACATAAGATTGTTTAAACAACTTATATTTTGAAATAAAAAAACTTCCAAAACAACTTATATTTTGAAACGGAAGGACTATATATATAGGCGAAACGGTTTGTTTTGAAAAGACGCAACCTTTAAAAATAACCATAAAGTGGTTATGTCGAAAAGACGCAACTCTTGATAAAACAGTTATATCGGAAAGACGCAACTTTTGACAAAACAGTTATATCGAGAATATGTAATTTTTATAAATAATCACCAAACGGTTTTTTTACGAAAAGACACAACCTTTCGAAAAGATGCAATCTTTAAAAACAACCTCTATATATAAATCGAGAAGACACACTGAGAAGTCTATTATATATAGATAAAAAAAAAAGACAACCTGAAAAATGAGAAGTCTTATTAATTTATTATTTTGTTTGATAAAATATAATTTTGATCTTATTAGTTGAACGGAGAGTCATACTCATACTGTCATACCCATTTTTATTTAAGATTTTTCCGATTTGCTCAAATATTTTAATCGACAATATTTTATAAATAAATGGTGGACAAAGCACTACCCAACATGCATTTATTTTTGTTTATGGTTAGAATTGGTCGCAATATGGAGATTCTCTTGCTATAAGTTCGGAATATAGAGTTAGTACTGGAGGACAATGATGAGGATTCATATTGATCATATAATAAATAATAATTTATTAATGTTGATTCTATCTTACACATACAATATGAATATCTAATGGGGGGGGGGGATTCATCACTAAAACTCTATTATCGGGTTAAAGCCTACACTGATTGAAATGTTGAATATTTAATGAGGATTCATGTTGATCCTATAATAATCTATTAATGTTGATTATATCCTACAAAAATATAATATGATATTGATATGATGGGGGATTCATGTTGATAATATAATAATCTATTAATGTTGATTCTATCTTCTCCTGCAAATAGATAATATGACTGGGATTCATATATATCACTCGGTTAATAATATATTAATATTGATTCTTCTTTTCTGTTTTCCGAAATATTAATGTTGTTTTATTATGAGGACACATATGAGGATTCATACTTTTATCATATAATAAATCTTTTCTTGTTAATTTTATTATGTCGACTTTATATGATACTGTTACTTAATTCTTGGCCAATGAAGTTTGGTTTTAGTGAGGTAGATCAATTAAAAAAAATAAAATCAATACCAATAATCTAAAGATGTTAGCCTTAAGATTATATGATTCAAGAAAACAAACCAAAAATGTAAATGCAACAAAACTACCAAAGTAGTGTACATATTCTTCATCCACATACAACACACATCACAGTTTTGCCAACAAGGCAACAACTTTACATACTTCTTAAACTGAGATTATTCAATGTTCACGGATTTTTATTCTTGCTAGTTATTTCGCAAAAAATCATTGAGAAAAACTCTCTCTATCACCTTCCTTTCTTGTTCTTCGAATAGCATTCCGATGTTTTGTGATTGTTCTTCCTACAAAAGTCGCACCATTTTTCGCTCCCGGAAGCTTCTTCATAGCTCTTAAGCCTTTGTTTCCATTCGTCAGCTCGCAAGATGTAAGCAACCTCAGTGCTACTAAGGTCTTTCGACAATCGAATAAACGATACAGATTCATGGAATCTTGGAGGCAACTTCTGAAGAATCTTAAAGATAACATCATCATCAGATATGTTCAT